ATTCTAGACACTCGTTCTGGAAGCAAATAGTTCTCACACTTGATTTAAAGAGTGGGTATTGGCAGGTGGAAATACATCCTGATGACCGAGAAAAGACGGCATTTACTACGGGACAAGGTCTTTGGCAATTCAAGGTGATGGCGTTTGGACTGTGTAATGCGCCGGCAACATTCGAACGCCTCATGGAGACAGTTTTGGAAGGTCTTTCCTACGAAGCCTGTCTGATATACCTGGACGACATCATCATCGTCGGAAATAGTTTTGAAGAACATCTAGAAAATCTTAGAAAGGTGCTTCAGAAACTGAAAGAAGCCAATCTGAAGCTGAGTCCCGCTAAATGCAAATTGTTCCGAAAGGAAGTGACTTACTTGGGACATGTCATCTCTGCAAAAGGTGTGTGCGTGGATCCTGAAAAGGTATCAGCGATTAAATTCTGATAAACGTCCCGAAAATGTCCATCAGCTGAGAAGCTTCCTAGGGCTTTGCACCTACTATAGCAGATTCGTGAAGTACTTTTCTTCAATCGTAAGACCTCTTCACAAGCTGACAGAGAGCAAGCAAAAGTTCTTGTGGACAAACGAATGAGAGGATGCATTTAACAACTTAAAGGAGGCTTTAACATCTGCTCCAATCTGACGTATCCTCAGCTCGACAGACCATTTATTCTCCACACGGACGCGAGCAGTGAAAGTGTCGGTGCTGTTTTTTCCCAAGAAATAGACGACCAAGAACGAGTAGTAGCTTACTGGAGCAAGTGTCTGTCTAAACCGGAGAGGAATTACTGTGTCACTAGGAAAGAGTTGCTCACCATAGGTAAAGCCGTAGAGCATTTCCATCATTATCTATAAGGCAGAAAATTCCTTATAGATACCAAGCCTCATTGGCCTGGCTTTTAAATTTCAAGAATCCTGAGAGTCAAATAGCCAGGTGGATACAGAGACTCCAAGAATATAACACTATCTGTCATCGTAAGGGATCTTCACACGGGAACGCCGACGCCCTGTCTAGAAGACCTTGCCCAGAAATCTGCCGATATTGTTCCAGGGTGGAAGCGAAATACGAGCTGCTGAGTCCGGTCGCAAGACAAATTACAACATCAACATCGGCTGATCGAGAGTGATGATGAAGTCAGGAAAGACCAGCTGGATGGCTGCGACATTAAACGCATAATTGATTTAATGGAGTCATCAAACAGAAAACCTACTTAAAAGAAAACCTTCCTGGCAGGACATTTCTATCTGTAGTCCTACAATACTGGGCACTCTGGGATTCACTTCACATTCGAAACGGCCTCTTATACCGGAAATTCGAATCGGATGATGGGAAGATGTTCCGATGGCAACTGCTACTTCCAAGATCCCGGATTCCTGATGTCCTTATAAGAACTACACATAACAGCCCCACAGGAGGTCACTTTGGAATAATGAAGACCTTGCAGAGAGTTTGTGAGAGCTTTTACTGGAATAATGCAAAGGATGACGTGCAAAAGTGGTGCCAATTTTGCGATGCCTGTGCAGGTCGGAAAGGACCGAGGAAACGCAGCCGAGGCAAGCTGCAACGTTACAACGTAGGAGCGCCGTTTGGACGTATCGCCTTTGACATCTTGGGACCTCTGCCACGAACTGCAGATGCCAAAAAATACATACTCGTTGTCATTGATTACTTCACCAAGTGGCCTGAAGCGTATCCTAGTCCTGATCAAGAGGCTGTCACAGTAGCTGAGGTGTTGATACAGCAATGGATTTCCAGGTTCGGAGTGCCTCTTCAGTTACATTCAGATCAGGGAAGGAATTTTACCTTGGCAGTAGTTAAAGAACTATGTAAACTACTCGGCATTGACAAAACCCAAACGACTCCATTACATCCCCAGTCGGACGGCATGGTAGAGAGGTTCAATCGAACCATCCTTAATAACTTCTCATTAGTGGTTTCCAGAAACCAGCAGGACTGGGACAAGAAATTATCACTGTTTTTATTGGCTTAACGCAGTGCTGTCCACGAGACTACCGGCTACTCCCCATCACAGATGCTCTTCGGTCGTGACCTTCGTCTGCCTTGTGATCTGTTGTTTGTTCGCCCTCCGGATGCTCCTTCATCGCCTGAGGAATATATTCAAGATTTCCAGACCCGGTTTGAAGTGATGCACAACTTTGCACGAGAGCGAGTCAACTTGGCGACGGAGTAAGATGAAAGACACCGATACGACAAACGAGCTACTACTGAACATCATTCCACGAAGGAGACAAGGTGTGGTTGTGGAATGCGACTCGACGGAAAGGACATTGTCCGAAATTACAGTCACCTTGGGATGATCCGTACACGGTCCTAAACAGGCTGAATGACGTCGTGGTTCGTTCGGATTCGTAAGTCTTCGAACTCTAAACCTAATGTCGTTCATTACGACAGGTTAGCTCATTACTATGGCCATAGTACGTAATTTAAATAATTGTAAATAGGGTAAGACCATGGTCATTTTTGTTTCTAAATGTGTATTTAGTATTTGATTTCAATTTCGTATTTGATTTGTTTTATTTATTGCATTTATTGTTCATGTTGTTTATTATTGTAATGTAATAATTATTATTGCATTTATGCCACAATTGTAAGTTTGGCTTCCTGTCCAGGGATTGTACTGCACGGGACGTGCAGTCCTTGGGAAGGGACAGTGTTACGGATTTGGTATTTAAATAGCTTATGTTAGTTGAATTGTAAATTAAATGGTTTTATTTCCCGCGCAGTGCAGCGCGTGACGAATATTAAAAGAAAGCTAAGCCGGAAAATTGAAAATACAAGAGCGCGTGCATGTAACATTTAATAAATATCTCTTTTTGATTTCGAGAAAGTACTGGAAAATTCTCGCGCGCGATTTTAAAATCTTATAAAAGGAGATAAACCTCTCAGTTCGTTGTAGTTACTTAGTTTGTTGTTGTTTAGAAAACTGCTCTTGTTGACCGTAGCGAATTCTATACCTGTTTTGAATTAAGTTCTCTTGAACGCTTGAGTAGTTAAAAGATAACTACTGTGAGATATTGTAATACTGCACGAATATTTTAGGAAATTAAAACATTTTTGTTGTAATAATAATAAATTTTGTTGATTTTACATCGGACTTGTGCATTTATTCCGTAACGAACCCGTACGCACGCAACACTATTAAATTTTTACGACTTTGCTTAAGATTTGTAAACATTTGTTAATTAATCGTTTTTTTCTCCCTGGTTAAGAACTCTCAAGAGACTTAATGGATCATTTTCAGACTAAGTCCTGTATAATTCTAGGTCTGCTGTTCCTACAGCTCCTAATCTGCAACCAGAGGCTCCAAAACTACACAGTTTTTATTGTTCATGAATTGATATTAATCATGAATGAATTTACAAGAAAGGCGAAACTTCGATTGAGAAAAATTTTCAAACTTATGAAAGAAATTATCAGAAAATATATGTAAATCATCATTTTACCATTGCTGAACCAGCGTATATCTGACGGTCGCACAATGTATATCAAGAACCACTTGATTCTCGCAAGCCACAGATTTTTATTTTTTCAATTCTCTTTAAGTACTTTTCTTCCTCATTTCTTCCTCATGTAAATTTCTTCCTCATTTGTAATATCTGCAACCACTTTCTTATTGATGGATGATTCAGAAAACCATCAGTTTGTTGTGTCGAGATCCAGATTTTGAGTAATTAAGCAATCAGATCAGCTTTTTGTATGAGGATTGGGTTTAACGGTACTGAACGAAAAATCATTTATTGAATGAATGGTGAATAAGCTGGTGACTCGAAGCAATATTTAATTTCTGCTCGTTTAAGATACTTTAAGATATGAGAACAGTTCGAAGGCTTCGAAGGCAGCATAAAATAAAATAATCTATTTCATCGCATTATAAAAACTACATTAAATGAAATGAGTGAAATATGAATCACCTAAGAGCGAAAATTTGAGCAAAAATCATCCGATCAAACTTGTTATAGGAACAGCAATTCGATATTATTATTAACGTCTAATGAAATAAATTTTTTTGTGTCACGTTACAGATTATATATTTTAAAACATCCTGAAAATTAATGCATTCAAGTTTCGTTACAAAATGCAGAAAAGTTTCCTAGGCATTAAATATTTGCATAAATTTCATTTAGAATTACATCTATATAATACTGATTCATACGTAATTTGCCTCTCGCTATAATAAATGAAACAGCAGATCACAGAACCCATCAGCAACAAGAGCGGTAAAAGCCGCTGAACATTGGTAGTTCAGTCCGGGACCCAAGTTCTGGCAAACGGTCTCGGTGTATAGGTGTTTTCGTAGTTTTCGCCATATGTAACGTGGATACGAGCCAGTTTCTTTGAGAAAGTCCTCTACAAGGCCTCCTTTCCTTTCCGTGAAGCGCGTACTAATCCGTGAAGCTCTCGCGTAGTAATGGAGTAGTGCGTAATAAATAATAATAATAAAGCAAGTCACTGAAAATGCAATTATGTTCACCCTAGATTACCCTGTTATATATCTTTTCAAACAGAATTTAGTCAATGAAATAATCTAATAATAGTAAATTTTTTATTTACTAGTATAAATGCATTAGTTTGTCCTTTAACTAATTTACCTAAAGAAATGGACTAGTTCACAGCAACCTGATTCAGATTTCTTTCTTTTAAGTGAAAGTTCTCTTTATTTGAGTTACAAAAACAGCTTATAAAAAAACTATGCAGTTTTTTTAATATTGTAAAATAGTTCCATCTTTCTATCTTTGCATATTTTATTAACGAAAATATGAAACAAATTATGAAAAAAACGACGACTCAAAATGCGTCGAGAAATTGCGAGAAAGCAAACTTATATTCAGAATATTTTATTCTGTTAACTTCTTGTAATGACAGCTACTAATTTATAAGAACTTCGTTAGGTAAATTTCTAAACTTTCTTAAGTGATTTTCAATAATTAAAAGATTTAAAAAATTGTCAGATTTGCTTTTACTGATAGCGGAAATAATATACTTACACTAAGAAAGGAGAAAGCTTTCCATAGATGAAGTAAGCTGGACCATCATAAACACCAGTTGGTTCAGTCATTAAAGTCTTTACATTTTTTATTGCATCCAATATAACTTTAAAGTTGGCTTTAAAACCATAGCGACCGTCTGGATTACGCTTTAATGAAATAAGTTGATGGGCATCGCTGCCACGTCCTTTCATCAAATCTTTCTATTACAAAAATGCATGATTATTTAATTCATATAATTATAAATTAAGCAACTTAAAATTTAATCCTAATTGAAGAAGTAGAATAAACAGTTTAAGTAATTATAAAATAAAGGAGTTACTTACAGCTTCCTCAGGTAAGTGATTATAAAGGTATCCAAGGATGAATTTCCTAGCACCTTCCTCATCTACATCTGTTGGCATTTGATCAGTAGCTTGTTGTCCCAGTGATACATACGTAATTACTGAGTCCAGTATAGGTTTTGGTATTTTTCTTGCTGTCATATCTTCTACAATGATCATCTCAACTCGCTCTTTCTGAAATTGGTGTTGCAAAAATTATGGCAACAAAATTAAGACATATAAATATAAAAACATCTAAAAGCTTTCAGATTTTATATTACACCCAAAGGGGCGTGTTTTCATTTACACATAAATAAAAATGTTTAAAAACAGCATATCTTTAGAATTTCCGATAGACAGTCTCGCGCTGGAGATAATAATATTTTATTCCGTGCTGTATGTTGCCAATGGTCGCTTTTGAAATCGTTGAGTTTCTTAGTCAAAAATTCGTTAAAGTTTAAAAATAATATGAAATAGCTAATAAAACAAATACGTAGTTCAAGATTCGGGTTTGTTTCCAGGTGCCCATATTTGGGTGGAGGACTACGTCATACAGAATTTGGTAGCTCGAGGTATCGTTGTTTTTTCACAATGCGAGGAACATGCTTACATACATGCAGATTCTTCATTATTTAATTTCTTTAAATATAACACAGGGCGATAATATAAGGTGGTGAAACAAACTTCATAATTAATGTAATACACATAGTCAACTCTCGATTAACCGGATCGGATTTAACTTAAAAGTGTTTAAGTTCGTGTATTGAGAAACGCTGAAGAATTAAAAAACTTTTTTAAATTGTTGTAAAATAAACACCAAGAACGTATCGGGGAACAGTTAATTAATTAACGACAAGAATTTGATTGGCAAAAGGGCATAATTTTTAAATGACTGAGAAATGAAAGTATCTAATATCCAAACAGATATCATATAGCAGACTTTAATATGCGATCATAAAGGTTTAAGGAAGCAATGAAACATTTGCAGTATAATTGCATTTGAAAGAACACGTAAGCAACAATCCTGTACTTTCGATGTTGTGAATATAATCGCACACTCAGTATTTTCTACTCAAATAGTATTACTTCATGTTTAAAGTTGTATTTAACGCGTGTATACCTCACCTCCATGTCCGTGAAATTAACCAGTACTGCTTGGCGGATTCAGTAAGCTAAGCATGTATAAGTAAAGATGCAGTTAGTCTTTGTTTAGAGGTTTTTATAGAGGGTCTGGCTATAGTGTAATTTTTTTTCACATTTATACACTGCTCTGATATGTGAACTGTGTTGTTGTTGTTACTTTTGCTCACTTGTCTGAAAATATCAGCCCAAGCCCACAAAATTCATCGTGGTAAGGAGCGCAAGATTACACCTATCATTGGCAAAACCTTGAGCACCTTACAGAAGATAGTACGACTTAACTCAGTTCCGTCCCAATTTTGATGGAGAGCACCCCCGTGAGGAGGGGGAGGAGGAGGGTCTCCCACCCCTCTTCCCTCACCAAACAACACGAGAGTAGTATCGGCTCGCCGCATATTTAGAGTGCCGCTATGCTGCACCGACACTATACCTTTACAAACATTCATGCCTTCTCTAGCATTCGAACCCGGGGCCTTCGGCACGGCAGTCAGTGACGCTAAACACTAAACCTGTTGGCGACTTTCTGAACTGTAACTAACTGTTAAGCTATCAGGTGAATTTTTGTCCCCTATTAATTTCTCTTTATACAGTTTGCAGAATAAGGAGAAATAGCAGTGAATAGCGAGTTAAAAATATTGCGATTCGATACATTTTAATTTTATCTGTTATTGATATGATAACTAAATGATGTAGATTAACCACCATTAATCTGATCTCCATTTCTTTATTTGTTAGTTGGATGCATGCAATTTAATGATATTTTGAAAAGCATAGCTTCCAGAAGTTTATTTTTCCCTTGTGCAAAGTACAGGAAGTATTGTCATCACAAAAAATATACGAGTATCATATTTCAACGAAAATATTCATTTTGACCGCTCTCGAATCAACTTAAATGACGTTTTTCGCGACATCTGTACGTATGGACAGAATAAATGATTCTTTTTGTCCAAAATGTATTATAAAATGTATTTAAAATAAACTGAGAAGAGATTTTTTATGACGTCTGTACACATGTACGTATCTCATCTAACACAAAAACGAATAGCCTCACAATGTTGAAATTTTTGTATATGGGACTGCCATAAGATGTAATTTTGCGCCTTTCCTTTTGATTGTAATCCGCCTCACCAAATATATATTTATATATGTATATAATGAAAGTAAAATTTAGAAGTACTGAAGTAGGTACACTGAAACGTAGCACTGTTGTTTGGTAAATACTTGATGCTTAGAGCATCAACCCACAGAGAAGGATTGAAGAGGAAGAAATCGAACCGGATTAAATTCTATTTTTATTTAAATTCACATTTGTGGCCATAATTCATTTGGCACTCTAATCAGGCCTATTGAAGAACATTTTCATTTTTTAATACTATTGCAATAGTGAAGAGAGCACAGCGGCGTCCAAGCAGCGCAGAGGGTGAAGCCAAAAGGTAGTCTGTTAAGATTTTAGAAGTTCGAAAATATCGTTATTTTTAGAATAGAGAAAAAAATACCTAAATTAAAAATGAGAAATTAAGACGCTATTAATAAATTAAATTACAAAGCTGATTTACACATTTCTTTTATCGTACATATACCCGCCTTATGGAGCTGAGTATTTTATTCTTATATGTTGGTAAACTGTGCATTTTTTGCTTTAAAAGTGATTGAATTATGTTGTTCTTATGCTCCGGTTAGGGTTCTTGTGCCTTTAGGTATTCAGCATGCAGTAGCTGTAAAATTATCAACAATTTAAAAGTTGTTTAAGTAGTGCCATTTGTTTACATTTGGAATTCAGTGAATTAAGTCAGTTCAGTGTCTTTTTTCCCAGTGGGATCAAAAGTAAACTTTCAGTTTTGTGCATCGAAAGGTTTGTTTTTGCTTCGAGTTGCTTCGTTTTGGCTTCGAGTTTGTGCATCGAGTTTTGTGCTTCCAGCCTGCTGGCCGAATTGCATGTTTTTGCATAGAATATCTAACTTTAATTGTAAAAAAATTTTTTAACTGTATTTGGTGTTTTTTTTAATGTATTTTACAATTTTTAATGAAGATGTTTTGAGTTTTTATGTATTTTTGCCTTGTTGCGAAGTGAAAACTGAATTAATTAAATGAAAAATATATCTCTAATGAAATTCAAGGAAAAAAGTTTAAATGAAATGCAGCAAAAAAATGTGCGTAATTTAATAGGCCGCATAAGGAAGTCATAATTGAGGATAGATAAAGAATCATGGTTGAAAGTTATCAAAGAGAAATCTAGATTATGAATGGCCTTGAATTCAATTCAGAATTAAAATTATTATATAAATTAAGGACAGATAAGTGGAATGATAATAGTCAAATTAAGAAAAGTAAACGGAGTGATGTACGCATAAGTTAGAGAAAAATTAATTTTACATTAAAAATTTGTTCTTAGATCTGAATTATCGTATCCTATATTCTCTCAAAATACTCTTCACTTAAAAATATTAATTCCGCTTTTTTTGTTTACTTAGTGAAAATTCCATTCCTTTTTAAAAATTAAATATTTTAAATTTTAAAATCTTATGAAAAAAATTTACCTTTGTAAGAGCAGTCCTCATGGCTGTTATTCCGCCCATGCTATGTCCCAGCAAAACAGCTTTGGTAATGTTCATTGTGTCCATGAAGTGTACCAAGTCGTTGAAATTGACATCGAAGTTGAAAATGTCTGACCATTCACTGTCACCGTGATTTCTCGCATCTAACAGGTACACCTGAAAAGAAAATGCGTTAATATTCAAATGAGCTATATAATAATCTGTATATGCGTTGTTTACATACTGGAGCTTAACTTGAGATAGCATAACATTCACTAAAATAACTACTACATAAATTAAAATTACATTTACATTATAATTTAAATTTATGTAGTAGTAACTTTTCTTAATGCTACTTATAATAAACTTTACCTTTGGAATGCGTAAACACGTTTTTGACTTACGTAATTAGAGGAGTAACCTGTGAAAGCAAAGTTATAATTATCCAGTAGAAAATTTAGGAACAGAAGAGTAAATAGAAAACGTTACTAGTAATAGTTTTGGAAATAAAATGTACTTCTAAAATTCTCTAATAAGTTTCTAAATTAATTTAAATTTTGTATAGGCTCTAAATGATTAAACCATGAAAATACACAATTTTATTACGATTTCTATGAAACAAAATTACCCATAGTTGTACAAAATATAGTTGTTTGCAATCTCCTCATTCTATCAACAAAGTAATTTTAAATTAGAAGCATTCATTTCGAAAGTCATCACTACCTGTAGTTTTTCTCAGAAATATGGTTGGCGAAAGTTATATTGCTGAAGAGAGATGATTGTTTTTTCATTCTGCGAAGAATTAATAAATATATTTAATGCGAATTTAAAAAGCAAACATACTGTAGTAAAACAGAAAAAGTCTATTGGAAGGATTATGGTTCCCTGCATATCAAGCCAATTTGTAGTCAAAATTAATTGGAGTATTAACAACAGATTTCTTTCATTAATTTTAAGATTTAAATCCAATATTTAATGACACTTAATGTATTTTGTTAATCATTATTTAATAAAACTTTAATAATATTTTCTAGTCTTAGTTGTATGTGTAAATATGTCTGGATGTTTGCCTGAGAAAGCATAAGTAGCGAAAATGAAACACTTCATTTATATTTATAAGTTGAAAAAAAATTGTATTTGTAACACTACGGAGTTTAAAAGTTCTGTTAAAGGATAATCATGCTGAAATAGCTTATGTCAATTAAGATAATGCAGCCGTTCTTAATTTGCTTCTTTTTAATAAGTAAACAATTAAACTAAAGAAAGATATTAATTATGGTAAAACTTTATATGCAATATTATGGTAAAACTTTATATGCAACCTTGTAAAGGCATTAGGCTATTTGGAAGCAAGAGACTTGAGAAATAAGCAGCGCCCTCACCTGGAATCGAACCACGGACATCTGGAATGCGCGCCCACCATGTAGACCACTGCATCACGAAGTCACGCTAAGAAGGCGAGAGAAATACCTTATATACTTCTCCTTTTAAAGGGCGACAGTGGTTTTTTGCGGACCTAATCGCCAAATCCTAGGTGTAGAGAATCATCATCTACCACCCTTTTAGTTCGGGCTCCACTGTGATGAAATGAAAAATTAGCAACGCCTTCCCCGGGAATCGAACTGCGGACCTCTGGAATAAGCGCCCAGCGTGCAGACCACCACACCATGAAGGCACGCTAAGACGGCGGGAGAAATACGTTATAACCTTATTGTCTATAGTGATCATTCAAAAGAATTTTAGACTAGAGTAAACTGATTTTAATTTCTCATAAAAACGTTGCATAAAGTACTGTAAATGATGTTCACTGTACGTAGCGAGATTCATTAATCGTTAATCCAAAATTTACAAAACGCATATATATTTTTGAATGCGTTTATTCTGTAGAATTATGCTTTTTGACAAGTATTTCAGTAATTTCGTTTAAGAAGTTTGATTTCCTTTCAAAGCCTATAAAGAAAATTTTAGAGTAGTTAAAAAGGGTGACAGGAATGAGACAGAATATGTTCAATAGTAGATTTCTTGTTATTTGGAAATGAATTAAATTTTTCTTAGGGAGAGGGAAAAAGAAAGAGATAATTAAGTTTAGTTCTTTTTTTTTTTTTACCTTTTTTTTTAATCTTCTTCTCCTAAAGCACTGTAGAAACGTATAGGGTAATACTTTTTCGCTAACTGATTTCTCATAAGTAGAAAAAATTAATTATTTTTAAATTATGAACTGAGCGGACACGCGAAGCAATTCACAAAGAGTTCTATGATTTTGACTGAGAAATAATGGTCTACAGCCTTACTAAGCTCTAACGAAAATATTATCGATAGCCCTCAATTACTTAAAGGTACGATAAGTGTCTCTTGGCTTGAAAAATGATTCTATGACTTGTGCTTCAGAAGATGCTATAATTCATTTTTCTTCTTTTCAATATCATTATTATCTTTAGTTATCAAGCCTAAGGGTGATTTTTAAATATATGAAGAGAATTTAAATGGCGTTTGCATCGATAATTCTGTTATTTCTTTTATAAAGGATGAATAGTAAATTTTAATAAAAATACATTAATAAATGCGAATGCTTCTGATACATAAGAATGCGCCTGCATGCATGCTTTTTAAATTATCATTGTTTGTAGAACTTTCATTGACTGCGTAACTATTTTATAATTTTGTTTGGATGTTAACTTCTAATTTCGTCGACTCTCACCAGGATGAATTCGAGAAAGGCCTCCAACAGCTATAGCTGATCATTATTCTAATTATTTCTCCCTGCCTGCGAATGAATTAATTAAATGGGATTAGCTAGTCGTAATTCCTTTGTAAAGACTGAGTCTTAATCCAAAACATAGAAGGCTAATTTTACTTTGCATTTAATATTTAAATTTTACCTAAGCATATGTTCTGAATTTTTTGCAGGACGCACAGATTTGGTTTTCTGTTTATAAATAGCAGTCTTATTGTTCAAGTTGATGACTAAATGAATAGGTTTAATTTATATCTTCATCTGAGTTTAGTTTACTGCGTTTTAGACGTAAGTCATTTGTCGATCTTTAGCATTCTAGTAGTTAGTACTTGGAGAACCGTACACGTTTGCGAGACACTCGAAAAAGTGGCTAAAGCATGAATTCTTTTTAATTTGAATACAGGCATAAGCTTCCTTTATAAACTTTCTTAAAATAACTTGGAGAATTTTACAAAAACATTTATGACAGGAAAGCTTCTTAGGAAAATCATACGAAGGTTATTCTAAAAATCTAAAATTTTATATGAGCCACGGAAGAAGAACTTATAATTAATAAAATAATCTCTACTTTTAAGCTAAATGCAAGATGTTTCCGTGGCTTCATAAGTAGATTTCGCAAAATGTAGTAACTGATAATTTCAAAGAGCCCTCTACAAATTTAATAATTAATTCTGTTAATGTTGTAAGAAACCATTAATCGCGAAACAAATCATGAGTTAAATTCTAGAATCATATATAAATGAGTTAAAATCTAGAATCAAATTTTGATAAATTTGTATTTTACTGTTATTGCATAGCTAACGTGTTTTTATTTTCAGTGTTATTAAAAAGTGCTCAAAAGATAGAAATTTCGTTTGGTACAAGGCGTTGAAAAGTTATTTGATTTAATAAGTTAGTTCTCGAATACATCAAAGAATTTTGTTGGTAAAGGTATAGAATCTTTCATATTTACCAACTTAATTTGTATTTTATGGTTGAAAATGTGTTCTACCGAAACCGTACACATTTCTTCCAAAACAGAGTTGAAGTTATTTTCATAAAATTTACTAAATAATCACAACTAAACTGTAGTTTGGTATTATTTCTAGAGCAGATAATGAGATATTGTTTGCTGTAGATTGTACGTAACTGACAAAATTTCGCATGAAATGTTGGTTTTACGGAATAGCTTCCAATTTCAAAAATCCATCATATGTAAAATTATCTCATCTCAACACTTAAAAACAAAATTCTTAAAAAAATCTGAAAGTTTTCAAATTTTATATTACATCCACAGGTTTTTTTTTTAACATTTTGTCTGTTACCTTTGTTTATTAAATATCACGTTCTTCGCACTTAAACCCTAAAATTCAGTTCAAGAGCAATATTGCAAAATAGTTTTAAATTTAGCATATCTTTAGAATTTCCGATACAGAGTCTTGCGCGCTGGAGATAAAAATGTTTTTTCTGTACAACTTTGCCATTGCTCGCTTTGAAATCCTTGAGATTCTTAATCAAAAATTCGTTAAAGTTTTACAAAACATGAAATCGATAATAAAACAAATTCCGAATTTCAAATTTGGGCTTTCACATGCCCATATTCCCAGTAGGATTACATCATTCAAAATTCGATGGCTCTGTGTACCGTTGTTTTATCACAATCCGAGAAATATATATACATTAATGCAGATTTTTTATTATTTAATTTCTTCAAATATAATGCAGGACTCTAACATTTGGTGGCAACAGTTTGAAACCTGAAACGGACGTTTATAGTGAAACAACGCAAAATCGCAAAACGAAAACAATAGTCCTTCAGGAACAAAGACCCTTTGGATTAAAAAGGAATTATATATGCTGCAGAAACATTGAAGTAAGTATCATCTTTAATGAATTCGTAATACAAACTAATCATGATTAGTTTATTACAATGCAGAAAAGCACCTGAAAATTACCAGCCTACAAGGAAAGATACTATCATGGAGGGCTTTCTAAGGGTAACTAGATCATATTCATGTTTCGAATGAAAATTATTCATGAATTCCTACATGTAATATAATTAATATATGTAATACTGCTCTAGTTTACATAATTTTTATTCCGATTAAAATGTTTCAGGGATAAAATTTAGTATTATTTTAAAAATTTTACTGTACCATGGAATTTCAATTATCATTAAAATGTGTGAATCGTGTTATGATTTACAATTTTATGTGTAACATAAAACTAAATTCACAGCATTTTAATAAAAATACTACTTCAATATCAGGGAATATTTTTATGTGTAACATAAAACTAAATTTGCAACATTTCAATACAAATATCACTTCATTATCAAGAAATATTAAAATATATAAATATTTCTATGAAAAGAGTATAACAGTAGAAGAAGTAAGTGCTTTTTATCAAAACTTGGCAAATGCAAGCTTTTACATTTCACTTGATTGACAGGAAGAAGATTAAATGATGAAGTGTAACTTCATATCAAAGTGCAAAATGAAATCCTTTTCATGTATTTGATAAAAGCGTTACGACTAAAGTTCTAATAATAACATTCCGGAGATGGTTGCATTTCGTCACTAGATGTATTATGAGATTTCACAAGTTAACTATTTCGGCCCATTTCGCTGAATCATTTCCCGTTTCAAAGACAGCGAACTATGATTTCATCACCTTAACAAAAATTAACAAATTACATATAAATTACATAATAGTGAAGTAGTTATTTTGTATTTTGTTCATAAATATTCACGCTTTATTCATATTGACTGAGTATTATTTTAGTCATTTTTGCTAGATATAAAAAAGGGAAAACCAATCATAACCAATAAATGATACAAATGACGCAGATTTCATTCCGATATATTTAATATAAATTAAATATGTTAAATGTATCTGCATGAATTTTAAATTTATTTAAATTAAAAATAAGTTTGTGATATTTCAGGATAAATTTCAGTATCGATGTAGGAATGTACATTCATAAAAATATGAATGTAAGCTAACGAACTGTGCATATATTCACATAAAATCGTACGAACTACAAATGGCGATATAAAATTACGAAATATATGCATGAAATATATGAATGTGTATTCAGTATGAATTTCAAAATATTCATCACAAATTTCTTAAATAAATGTAATTCATAATGATCTATTTTTCTCCAACTTCAAGTTTCTAATTTGGAAACATGGCAGATAAACCATTGCATTTGTGTGAGAGGAAAGAATGAATATTTGAGTAACAAAGTGCGAAGCGTATTAACAAGCTACAGAAAACTCCCTAATTCTGGAGAACACTGACAATGCTGAAATTACTAACCACATAAATGCCATTACTATTTTCTCTAAAAGAATAACGAATAAAGTAATTAAAATGATCCTTACAATTCACAAACTTAAAACAATTTTCTCACCTTTCTTTTCGTTTTGTTGGCAAGTGTCTGCGGGATATCACTCCAGTAGTCGCTAGAAGCCGTACAACCATGTAAGAAAATAATGGGTGATTTATCTGCAGCATCACTTGCAGGTTCAACAGTTTTATATGCCAGTTTCACGGGAACGTAGCTGAAAATAAATTACACTTTTTCAAAGTAATATAACTGTAAAGCAATTTTCATAAATAAATTGTTAAGAATACTTTTAACAGTATCTGTGCTTCACTGTATTAGTTTCAGTTAATAAGATTTCACGTATGTATGTTTCCAATAAAATACACGAAGTGTTTATCTGAGTTAAATTTTTATTAAATTAATTCTTTTAAATTTAAATAGATTCAGAAAACTGGCTGTGCTGTTCGCAGAGCACTAAAAAAACGGAACTATGATCTCAAGACAGCGCCATCTGGTATCTAAACGGTGTTTAGATATCAGATGGCATCATAATACCAGACGGCACCAAATTAATCTTAGGTAAAATACCGAAGTACGTTAAGTTTTTCAAAGAGAAATAATAACGAAGACGAGCTTAGAATTCGTAATATCCAATTTTTATCATTCTGTGAAATTTTTTATCGAGTATAAGAAAATAAATGTTGATATTAAGATATAAAGTGATCCAGAAGTTCCATTATTCTAGAAGTTTATATGGAATGTTACTTTAGTTTTAAACTAACTAAAGTATAGTTCAGTAACTTAGCTTTTCTATTTTTTCTCAGTTCCATTTCCTGCCACAATGATATTACAGTTTTTCGTTGATATGTAAACTAGTGTAGAAAGATACTATTTAAGCTGGTGTCTGAGTTATTTCAGACAGAGCATGTTCTGCTGTTCGGCCACGTTTTTTCGCTGATATTTAAGCTTGCTATTTTACGAACGTGCATTTTAATTGCCGGGTTGTGTACGTCGGTGGTAGGGCTAAGAGCCAACTCGAGTTAATTATCTCTGTGCGGCTTCGGCTGATTATTAAATATAGTTTTAATTTTATACTTCTATCTTGAATTGCAGTCAAAAGTATTTGCTGGATTTGTCATCTGTAAATCATTTCTTGAGTTGAATATAAGGGTCTTTTCATCCTTCGTATGCCTTGTCATTAATACAGTTTGAACTTAACGAACAGACGGTTCACAGTTCAAGTAAAGATATAGCCAGCAAATTAAAGTTTATTTATGTAAAATCTTGCAAGTTTATAATTTTTTTCTGAATTTATTCAATTAAATCGACAAACTGAGAACAGACGTCTTTCTTGGGCTATTTTATACGAACATCTGAATCATACTCAATATATAATTCAAATTAATTACAAAAAAAATTCGTTTTTAATGTATTTAAATGCATTAAGGTATGATTGGTCTCGGAAAATTATTGATTCATTTTAAAACAGAGACTAAAGAGCCCAATTGAGACGGAGCAGACGGAGCATTTTCTTAATTTATGAAAGGGCTCACCAGCGGCCGAGCGGTAAAGTCGCTGAACACTGGTACTTCGGTCCGAGGTTCAAATCCCGCGAACGCGCTGGCTGCATGGGCGTTTTCGTGGTTTTCCCCATGCGTAACGTGTATACGAGCCAGTTTCACTTAGAAAGTCCTCCACGAAGGCATCACTCCCCTTAGGCAGATAGCCCTCGAGGCTTTGCCATAATCACACACACACATACATAATTTATGAAAACATAAAATTTTCATGTCAGAAACACTTTATGCGAGGAATATTTATACGTATACGTAAAAATACGGAAATATTGTATTTAACAACATCCTTCGTATTAACTGATTTTATGTTTCGTGAACGGCTAAAGGGTTGCAGTATAATCATGCTAATAACCATATAAACTTACCTCGACATATTTTCAGCAAGAATAATGAACCAATTGTACAACTAAAGCGCTACAAACTGAAGAGTAATTTCAAATATTTAGAAAATATTAAACAAGAGTTTTTTTTTCCCTAGATATGCTGCTATCTGCAATAAATACGTCAGCGGAGCAGAAAAAAAGCATATACGATACTCTTCTTCTCAATCAATTATCCACTGATAGCGATAAGAATTACACTCTTTCAAGAAGCACACTGAAGCTTTTCTCTTGTGAATATTACTCTTCTCAAAAGCAAACTTTGCGGTTAGAAAATTAATATCAAATGAAATTAGCTCAGCTTATAATATACTCCTCTGCGTAATCTAGTGACAGTCCGGATAATGCACTAACGTATAAGCACTAACGCACAGTCAGTGCATCATCCCAAAAGTCAACACTTGCATGTCAAACGAGCATTCTCCTCGGATGCGTTTCGAGATTAGACAGATTTTTGCAGTTCAAACTGGTTTTACTCCCACCCAACATTTTGCGTATTCATTCTTTCCTAAACAATCATGTTTAATTGACGCGTCCTTGGATGGATGGATACTTTCGCACATGTACCGTTCATCTATTCAGTGCGAGCTCTTTTTATTTATTTATTTATTTTTTGGTTCGTATATATATTTTTTCTTTTTTTAAAATACGAGGAAGTTTTAAATAAAATCGAAAACTGTCTCTTTTTATATGATAAAACAATAAAGGAGAAACATGCATTGTTGAAGTTAAACAGGGATATGGACACTTGAGATTTATTCACCAGTTTTCATATTCTTCAAAATACTAAATCTCTTACCAGATAATCACCACCAAAACATAAAAGTAAAAGAAAAATCATCATCTTCATTATGATTCGCACAAGTTATAGAGCATTTTTTAATATGGGGTAGTTTCCTGAATGTCACTAAAGATAAATACATAGATAAATAAAATATACAGTATGAAAACTTCAGATAACGGTCTTACCTCTCGAAGTGTTTACAAATGCATCGTAAAATTTAATGCAAGATAAAATTAATATCTTGTAAGATTCTGTACTGTGTACTTATAAATTACAGTTGAATTTGAAGAATCTTAACAACTTTTAAGCAAATAATCGCTTGAGTTCGTGATATAGAAATCAACAAGTGAGAAGGGTGAAATAACCCTTTATTATTCCAATAATGTGTAACAGAACTCCGTCTTGGAGTTGTACAATAAAACCGACACTCGGGCTTGAACTTAAGAGACTAAGAACTAAACTAATCTTAACTAAAAACGATGTAGCCGAAGCTATCAAACTTCTAACAAAGTTGGCCCCTTAACGCTAATTACTGCGAAGCTATTGAGGGTCTAAAGTACGGCTGAGCGTAATAATAGCTTAAGAGAAAGTAGCCTAAAAAGGCTCACGCGTGCTAGCCAGAATCACTGGTTCTCTCTAATTAAATCTTCGCGGTTAAATACTACTCCTTAAATTTGCATTAACAACATGATTCTAAAAATACGTTCTGGTCCGAAGTTGTAAGTTGAAATTAAGAAGCTATAGGAAAGGACTTTAAATCAAAGTTTAACTGTTAGATAAATAAACATAATCCTTACAGACTTTATGAGCATATAGTTAAAAATACTTAAAAATTTTAAAATATAAAATGTTACAAAACTAAAAAACTATTACAATCTGATTTTAGTAATTTTAGTAATTCTAGTAATGTTGATTTTAGTAAAATCTTCTATTAAAAATAAGCTGCTGATAATGGAACAGCTAGATAATAGAAAAGAATATTTGATGTGATATTTTTTTTTATCTGAAGTTAGAGCCACGTGGAGACACTTGCTCTTATGTAATACAAAAACGATTGAATTACTGAAGCCGTAGCTATGCATATATTTCCCTTGATCCCTCACAGCGAGGCTTGCAACCAGTGTAGAATTTATGTATAAGCTACACAAGCTATAGCTTAGGGCCCCCACTTTCTTGGGGGGCCACAAAAAATTAAAATATAGTATAAATATGATATTAAAATATAGTATAACTTACTTATAAAGGCCCCTATATTTCAAATATCTTAGGGCATTATCAAATCTAAATCCGGCTCTGTTTACAACACATATTTCTTCTCAAATAGCAATCCATTGTATTTTGTCAGGACACAAAATTGACGAAATGAAAATAAATAAATAAATAAATAAATATGTCGAAAAGGTTGTTTCCGTTATTAAGAAGTAATTAAGAAAGATAATTACTTTTGCAAAAACTTAGCTTTAAGATATGGTCATCCAACGGGAAATTCACTTCCTTTCTTTCGGCCACCACTTCCGGCCTTAGGAGTGACGAATTTCGAAAAAAGACAAAAAATGTACCCACCGTTCGGGGAAAAAATGCTGTTATTCATGCCATTCGTAATTTTTAGACAGCTTTTGTTACTGTGGTATTTTTGCCCTTGAAACATTCTGAACTTGCTACATAGACTCGATGTGTTCTGAACTCGACAAGAGAAAATACTTTTCTAATTAAAAGATATTTCTCCTTTTGGTATTGCTGTTCATTTTGTGTCAGAATTTGTCAATAATTGTGAAGCAACGTAATATTATGCTAGAAATAAGAGACTAATAGGATTGAAAACATGATTAAACGAAAATATCTTTCCAGTATAGTTCTTAAAATTAAATTTTTTTCCACTTTTTTGCCCACCAGCGGCCGAGCGGTAAAGCTGCTGAACACTGGTAGTTCGGTCCGAGGTTCGAATCCCGCGAACGGGCTGGCTGCATGGGCGGTTTCGTGGTTTTCCCTATATGTAACGTGTATACGAGCCAGTTTCCCTTAGAAAGTCCTCCACGAAGGCATCCCTCCCCTTAGGCAGATAGCCCTCGGGGCTTTGTCCTCATCACACACACACACACACTTTTTCCTCTTTTAGTTTTATTAATTGATGGAACATATAATGTTTATTTTTATATGTAAAGAATTCAGAACCTTAATAACTCGAGAAGAAACACTGATTATTTCAAATCCATAAATCTTCTGACTTTTTCCCTTAAATTAAGAAGCAAAATTCTACTATCCTTTTAAAGTGGAATTTCTTACGGTAGTTTGCATCCTCGGCGTCGCGCGACTTAAAACACCGTTTGTGTCCTTATACGTATTACTTTCATTCAAATCATTTTCCAGTTTCCTTTAATTTCAATCATAATTTTCTAAATTTAAAGCTTTAATCTATCTCTTGAAAAGAATAGTATTCAGAAGGCGGAAAAAAGCATCAATGAGTTCCGTGATAGCTAACTTTTATCGCTATGAGTGAATAATCAGTTGAGGTGATTGTGTATGCTTTTCTATTTGATTTTTATTTGTTTCTCTTCCTGTGACGTATACTCATTGTAGATAGCAGCGTCTGTATAAGCGAGAACCTGTTCTAGCTTCTCAGTTTTTGTTGAATATATTCTGCAGCTTCCAGTGCTTCCGTGTGTATCTGGTTCCTTTTCCTGCTCAAAATATGTCGAAGTAAGTTATCCATAGTTTATTTACCATCATTGCAATAAAGCATTTCGGCAAGGGATTCAAAATATAGCATCAATGAATGCAAAAGTGTTATCAAACATAATACTTGCATTTTTATAAATATTGATTTACTTCCATAACGTATTTTTGACTTTGAAATCTTGTGTCTTTAGGCCTTAAGTTAAATGCTTTCACAAGTTAAAAAATACGTGTATTCTGTCTCTTTTTCTAAGTTTGGTTCGTTTAATTAGTTCAATAGCTTAGAGAGTTAGCTTGAAAGCTAGCATTGAAACAACTGAGTATGTTTTCAAAACAGATTAGCATTCGAACTGACAGAAAAATATCAAACGAAAATTCATTTTGTAATTTATTTAAAGTGTTATCTTAAATAAGGGCCGGTTTTCACTGGAAAGTTATGTTATAAAAGCTTTTTCTCTCATTTTATTGCTTCAGTCCGATAAATTTATCATAAAATTCAATCAAGTTCTGGAAGAATGAAAATGACTACGATACTACTTGCTGAGCGAGGAAACAGCTCTGTGTAAAAGATTAAAAAAAGCTTTGACCGTAACAGTTTTTGTTATAAAATAAAAATATTTTCATGTGTAATACATTGATTAGTTTATGCTAACATTGGATATAAAGTGCAGAGTCATTAGGTTTACCAAAGCAGAAAATATGAAAAATATGCAGTGTCCTCGCGGAGGTTTAAGCTACGTACCTAGCCGGGTGTGCTTATAATTGTACCAATAGGGCACGTTGTAAGAAGGGACTAATATTGTATTTATACATTATATATAGAAATATATATTATATTAAAATGTATTATGTACAATATGTACAATATATTATATGCAATATGTACAATATATACATTATACTATATGCGATATTATATTAAAAATATATTATTTATGCAAGAACACCACTATCTTCTTTTCCTCTCTTGTGAGACTTAAGCGAATTTTAAATAATGGTAAAAATTATAATGGTACGAATTAATTGCGCTGGTTTTTTTCTGCTTTGGCTTTTTTAATTAAATTAACGCACTTGATTATTGTATGTAAGGTGAACTTATATATCATTACTATGCTTCTATTTTCTTTCATACAACATTTAGTTTATGAGATGATGCTATCTTCAGATTGCGTTATGCAGTTCAGCAAGTTTACCAAGTATATGTAAATAAAATGTATTTTATTAGTAATAAAGTAACTTAAATTAGCATGTTTTATACTTTATTTGAAATAAAATTACTTGAAATCTTCTTATCTTAAATCCCATAAGGTGTACATACCGGGTGATCCAAAAGTCCGTTAACATTTGAAAATACCATAATTCACGGAATAATGTAGGTAAAGTGGTAAAAATTGATGCAAACGCTTGAAATGACATGGGATTTTATTAAAAAAATGCAAAAAAAAAAAAAAGATCAACCTATGGAGCTGGGAAGCAATAAGTCAGTGATGCCGAATGAGAATCGTGTATGAAATGAGTTAGAGTGAAAGAGGGAATCAGCCCCTTCATAACATTATCACTTTTCTATCCTCACCTACGGCTTTAGGTCGATCGAACTCATTTTCTTCGAGGAAATGCGTGGTTTTCCGGTACGCGGATATGTTACAGAATCACACCATCCTAGTCTGGGTGATAAACACCTGTTAGAAGGAATGACTTTTATGCAAATTGGAGCTCCACCCCACATTGCTACACGTATGAAAGACTTCTTGCCCACATTGTTTGGGGACGATCTGGTGCTGAGCCGTCACTTCAGTCATGCTTGGCCTCTCAGGTCGCCAGATCTCAATCCGTGTGATTATCGGTTGTGGGGTTATTTGAAATCACAAGTCTACCGCGATCGTCCGATCTCATTAGGGATGCTCCAATAGCAATTTCTCACCGTACCTACGTATGCTGTACAGTGCTGTTCACAACATTTTCTCTCGACTACAGGTACTGTCGATGAATGACGGCCGACAGGTTGAACATTTGTTATAAAAGAGTCTTTGCTAAAAATCAATTGTTATGCTACTGACCGTTTTAAGCACTTTTTTTTTCTTACAATAAAACCCCATGATATTTCAAACATGGGTGTCGGTTTTTACCTCTCTACTTACATTATTCAGTAAATTATTGACTTTTCAAATGTTAACGGACTTCTAGGCCACCCGGTACTTTTAAAATATCGATGGTGTTTGTACTTTACTTACGATGCTTTTACGATGCTTTTAAAAGCATCGTTTACAGTTTGATACTTTGCAGCTATATTAAATTAAAAGCGTTCAATTTATTTACAGCTATACTCCCGTAAGACTGGCATATAAAACTGTGGAACCTGTAAGTGGTGCCGAATATAAAGCGCCAATTATCTTTTTACATGGTTTAACAGCTTCCGCCGATTACTGGTTTGATATTTCCCGAACAATTGCAAATGAAACGAAACGAAAGGTGAGAAAAATTATTTCCCTATCTATTGTTGTGAATATTTCTAGATTTCACTTTCAGTTATATTTCAGTTTATTCTAGATAATAAGTCTGTAACACTAGATTGTCAGTATATTGTCAATAAGTCCGTATTTTTCAGAATATGCACGTTTCGTTACACTTGCAAGGTCTCTTCTTATTACAGTTTTTAATTCTTTTATAGCTATTTTAGTTATCCATTTGCAATAACAAAATTTCTCTATATAAACTAGAAAGTTCTATGAAACAAGTTTCAGGACTGAAAACAGAATTTTTTCGTTATTAAGATCTTTTAAGCTTTTATAGGGTCACCTTAAAAAGTAAAATGTAGGTTTGGCACAGCTAGGTACGAAATTGGTAAACATATTTTAGATTAACAATTTTATGAGATCATCTATCTTGAAATTTTCAGTATTTTTAGCAAGCATGTACGATGTGACGCTTTCTACTGTTATTTTTCTTTCTGGATAATTATTATTTTTCTTACCTATGTTTTCCCCTGTGTGCTTAATTTTGAGAGTCCAAAATAATTTGCGTATTTCATGGCTGAAAATAGGCTGTTAAATAATGTTTAATTTTATACATCAGTTGCTTTGCGTAATGCTATATTATCCTTTATGTTAAACTCATGCATATAAACAGCCACGATTATACTTATTATCAAGCTGATTACAAGCATAGTAAGCATATTACGCATTATAAACATATTACGTTTTAACCAAACGTACTAACCAAAAATGCATTTGTTTTCAGATATACCTGTTGGATGCGAGAAATCATGGTGACAGCGAATGGTCGGATGAGTTCGATTTCGATATAAATTCTTATGATTTAATGCATTTTATGGACACAATGAACATTCATAAAGCTGTTTTACTCGGACACAGCATGGGTGGAATAACAGCCATAAGGACAGCTCTTAGAAAGGTAAATGTTTTTTAGAAAATCCTGGAGTTTTACAAATGACATGGCATTTAAAACAAGACATTCTGTACCTAAATACAAACAGCAGCATTAGAAGCATTAGCAGATTTGAATGTGAAACGCTTGAAAAGAATGCAAGAATTTAAGCAACAAAACTGACTAACTCTGTGAATAGGATTTGGAATGTAGAATTTGTCTATAATTTATTTTTAAATCATTCCATTAAGCTTTGTATATCTTAATTCTAAACCCCAAAAAGCACATAAAAATATCCTTTAAAGTCATCATTAAAATGCATACATACAACTGGCAATTAAAACGTGAAGATCAGATTAAATAGTAGTTAAACGTTATTATCTCTTTGTTTTTGGAAAGTTAAAAATATCTTTATCTATATTTGATTTAAAAGTGAAATATTTAAGAAAAATCTACATTAATATTAAAACCCTAAATATGACAAGTCATTAAAATCTGACAAGTCTTCAAGTCATTAAAATTGTTTATCTCGAAGTTATGGCTTGAAAAGTAAACCATCAAACTAATAAAGTTTCCTTAAGATAAAGTTTTAAAATATGACATATCTATCAAACATTAACAATTAAATGAAACAACTTTTTAAACCTTTCGAAAATCTGAAACATATTTCTTTGAAAACAGATGACAGTGATATTGTTAGGTATCATTGTCGTGATATTGTTAGGTATCATTGTCGCGATATTGTTATATCATTGTCCAATGATATACCGTATACAGTCGTAACGTATATCGTTGTCGTATATGATTGTCGTAAGCTTTCACTGTCATTGTTTTTTCATAGTTTATAAGGACTACTATTTCTTCTAATCATTTTGGCAAACATGTTAGAGTCCTGAGTAAGAACAGGGAGTTTACGAAAACCTATGTCCTAAAAGTGTAGAAGAAACAACACAAGTGGGAAGGGTTTAATTACCTTTTGTTCTTCATAGTTTACAGCTGCTCCCGCACTTCGGGATACAAAGATCAGCACTTGTGGTCTGAACGTAAAAAATTAAGAACTACAAACTAACTAAATTAAGTAAGAGCTAAACTGAAATGTTTACAAAAATTATAAACGCAAGAATTGGCCTTTTAATCTTTACGTATGTAGTACGCAGAATGCCGGAAAACTACAATATGTCTTCAATATCAAGAGAACTGAATTTCTTGCCTTAAAAGGTGGACAGCAACTGACTGAAAAGCGCGCGTGAAAAAAGGTAGCCAGAAGTCTCTTTATTGGCTAAAAGCCACAACTTAAATATTTATCAGTTTGCAAGCTCAATTTGCATACTAAAACTAACCGCGTTTTGTCTGGCCGGAAGTGGAAAATAAGAGGGTACATGAAAGTTTTAAAATAAAATAAACGTTATTAAAACTTAAAATACTTATAAGTTAATTTCTTGAATTAACCCAATGCTTCAGTTTTTCATAAATATTTTAATTGCCTCAAGGTGTTAGTATACCTCAGATTCAGAATAATTGTATGTAAGAACACATACGGATCAATAATTAACATATAACACAGTTAAACTGTTAAAGAACAATCCCTTTAATTTTATGCATTCAATGATACTTAGTCATCTTTCCATCATAGGCACTTTATTAGGGACTAACTTTTGTTAAGGAAATTTGTATCTCTAATTCAAACATTGTTCTTAGATTGTGTCAATTATATTCCATCAATACAGTATGATCGATAAGTCAATCAAAAGTTTCATTTTATATTTATGAGAAAGAGTTTATGTTCCATTTTCGTCTGGTATTTGCAGTGTATTTTTAATTATACTGAAGACCTTTGAATTTGAAAAGGATATCTTTTCTTAAAAAGGATTTTTAAAATGTTTCTCTACAGTTTTCTCTTAAACAGAGTTTATTATTAAATTTAGCAATTTTGTTTATTCAAAATACTTATACTTATTTATGTCTTGCTAGTAAACATCAGAAAATTGGAAGCGATTAGAGAAATTAAAATATAATAGCTTAAAAATTATTACAGTTTGGGGCACTAAAACTTAACGTGCATTCATTACTTCAATTTTCCACTTACGATGTTATTTCGGCTATTTTCATAAACTTTTTTCAAAGATAAATAAACTTTGTTTCAGGGTTAAAGATTCATTTTAAAAGTTTTAAACTTAAAACCAATATCTGATTTGAAATTTTTATTAGAAAGACACTAAAATCTAGAAGTTATTCAAATAAATCTACAGAAATGCTATCCCAGTAACAAAATACCTTTCATTAATTGTTTTTGTGCCATATTAAATTTTACAATAATCTAATCATAAAATATTTCTCCCCACAGTTATTCAAACAACTTTAGGAAATGAAGTTTCATTTCCATATTTGACATTTTCATGTACCACAGTCGTAGTGGAGATAAAATACAGAAAAATAGTCCAATTGGTGTTTCGAGTTGCTTTACTTACATTTTGGGAAGAGTATAGTCTGTTTCGTGGAAGATTTGACGTGCATTATCTCAGTGCCTTTCCATAAGGCAGTAACAAAAGGCACAAGAAATATACTGATTGTTTATTACATGTCTATTTAATGCTATTCAAGAAACTAAACTCTCATCTGTAATATGGTCTTTGATAGAAGGAGACAGAGTTGTGAATATTTTTAAGAGAATCCAGTGTCAGACATTTTTCAGTCAATCCTAGTTTCAAGGAACTCATCCAAATATGCACGTATAGAGTGGGCTGTCTCCTGGTGGAGTTTGTATGCACACTGGCTCGTATCCACGTTACACATGAGGAAAACAACGAAACTGCCCATGCAGCCAGCCCGTTCATCGGACCTCGAACCCCGAGCTGAACTACTAGTATTCAGCGGATTTTACCACTCGGCCGCTGGTAGGCCAACCACATCATATTATAGCTGCAATAAAAATTATCAAAAGCCAAACAACTGTAATGGACAGTTATAAATTTAAAAACCTATTTTGAAGCGAGACATTTAAGAAAACATATCATTCTACTTCAAGACATATAGATTTCATCTTCAGTGAGGCAAAGAAAATGTAACCCTCATTTTTTAAAAAAAATTATTATTAATTTTCTTTCTGTTGGGAGATGACTAAAATAAAAGTAGCAGTACACGCAAAATAGTAAGATAAATGTTAATACAGATAAAACTCTAAACAGTCGTATAAAACTTAGACAATTATTACAAATTTTATCTTTAATTAACTGAGGTTTACCGACACATGCTTAGTTGGTAGCCTAAATCAGTTTACGTGCTTCATTGAAATTTATTTCAGTTATTTTCCGTAGCAATTTAATATAATGAAATATGAAATTTTAGAAGTATTTATATGATACTGATTTTTAAAGTTCTTAAAAACAGGAGAAGTAAATGAAGTAAATCATATTTCTGTCAGAATTTCTATTTACTCATCTTCAATTTTTATTATTCTGATATTTGCAACATTCATTTCAGAAAGAGAGAGTCGAGATGATCATTGTAGAAGATATGTCAGTGAGAAAAGTACCGAAAGCTATGTCGGACATAATAACTACGTCTATAACATTGGCACAAGAAGCAGCTGAGCAAATGCCAACAGATGTAGACGAAAATGGTGCTAAGAAATTCATCTTTGAGTACATTCTCGATCACTTGCCTGCGGAAGCTGTGAGTAATTCGTTTATTTTGCAAATAGTTATTTAAAATTTTCGAAAACCAAATTATAAATTGCACAATTTACAATTAGATAATGCATTTTTTTTATTGTAGAAAGAATTGATGAAAAGACGTAGTAACGATGATTATAGAGCTCTTTCCCTGAAACGCAACACAGACGGCCGGTATACCTTTAGTGCCAACATCAATGTTTTAAAGAACGCTGTAAAGAATGCAGAGACTTTAATGTCTGAACCAACGGGAGTTTATGACGGTCCAGCCTGTTTCATTTACGGAAAAGATTCTCCTTTCCAGGTGTAAGTGCTTTTTTCACTCAGTCAGTTCGAAAGACAGCAAATTTAAAACCACCGCTAACCATTTATAAACATTAAAAAGTTTACTTTTGTTTTCTTCGACTCTTTGAAAATTTAAAGATGTTATCATAAATAATTAAATTACAGAACAAGAGAATTGAAATAAAAATGTATGTAGATAAAAGAGAGATTTCATAAATATTTTGCAGTTACATTAATAAATTATGTAAAAAAGACAACACTTCCAATTTTTAAAAAAGTATTATAGTTTCTTATTTGTTACTCAAATAAATAATTTTCTGCACACTTTTTTAAAATTTGTAAGCAAAAATTGAGGCGGATAAATAATTTGAAATATTTCCTTAGGTAATTTAAAGAAACAACATGAACAAACAATATACTACTATATATTTACAGTAGGAAAATCTGTATTTTCATAAATGATTTTAGATTGTCTGAAAAAGTCTCAACGCATTCTTTCTATTTTCTTCAAAGGTCCTTTATTTATATAAAGAACAATGAGCAATCAATAGTATATTGCCTGCTTTGTAATAACGTTTTACTTTCTTTGAATGAACTTCGTATTTCCTCGTTCACGAAACAGCCTAGCTTTATCATTGAACAAGGTTCTGATTTACAGTCTCATCTAAATTGAATGTTATACCACGAAAGACATTTTGAAGCGAGGGAAACAAGTGAAAAATTGAGGGCGCAAGATCAGACGGGTATTATAGGCGTGGCAACACTTTTATCCAAATTCCAGTAACTTTTATCAGGTGATCAAACTTGTCTATGATCGTATTTACAAACTCCTACCAACGAGTCTACAAATTATTTCGAATGCTGTCGCCAACATGACAGTTTCAACGAATCTATGTTCCATAAACTTCCAGAGCTCATTAATCGTATAGGAACTGCATTCCATTCGAATAAAGAGAAACCATACACATATTTGATCACCTGACAAAAGTTATTGGAGTGTAGAGAAAAGTATTGGCACGTGTATCATACTTGCCTGATCTTGTGGCCTCAAATTTTCACTTGTTTCGTTGTCTTCAAAATTTTTTTCATGGTTTAATATTCAATTCAGATGAGGCCGCAAATCAGCACCTTGTTCAGCTTTTCTCTCATAGAGCTAGGTTCGTTTGTGAATGAGGAATTACGAAGCTCATTAAAATAAAGTAAAAATTTATCAAACAGAGTGGGCAATATACTATTGACTGTTAATGTTTCTTTTATAAATGGAAATGGTATGGCTTTTGTAGAACATACAAAAAATGCGTTATGACTTTTCAGAAAACTAGACGTTTATACCAGTAAATAAAAAACTTACTCATGCAAAATCTTTTTATTTAAATGTTTTTGCTTTGAAATGCACATTCGTGAGGAAAAAACAGAAAAAAGAGAGTTATATTCTGCCTAATTATCACAGTTACAGACAATTTGCATTTGGGGTATTAATGCTTAAGTAGTAAATAGTGTTATATATCGAAGTACTAATATACAACAAAGATTTTTATATTGGCAGTAGAACTGCATCATTTTAACGAAGTATCTAAAGTATATAATAAGAAGTGTTATAGGAATAAATAAATATTTTATTATTTGAGTATAGAAACAAACTGGTTTCGATATTTTTGAAGCAAGTATGGTCTGACTTTTTTTATGTGAAATTTTTTTCCCTTACTCGATACAATAAAGGATTAATGATTTTTATTTAAGTTGTTGTATTATTTCATAATATAATAATATATGAGGACCATAAGCCTTTTATTTTATGCTACATTCGAAGCAATTAACAGAGTCTAAACCTGATATAAATTGGTTCCTCGAGTTGATATTAAGGTATGTGTATGCTCAATTATTTTTTATTTCACCAATTATCCAGTAAATTATTAAAACAATTAGTTAACTGTTATGAAATTCTTTTATATAAAAGCTCATATGAATAACTCTTATTAAAATATTAGTTTACTTACTATATGTACTGAACTGCATCTACTGTTTTTCATTCAGTTAAACTTAATTTCCATAAACATTGCTTGAAGTTTTCTGTTAAATAATCGGAATTCAAATTAATCATTTCTTTTCAGTTATAAATTAGCAAACGATTTAAACAATAATTTTTAGTTGAATTAATGAGATCTCAAAAATCGTGAGTCATTATTTCAAAATTTTACGAGAAGGAAAAAATAACTTTTAAATGTAACTAAGCGTTGAATGATATTCCATAAGCATCTGTATTGAGACATTTGAATTAGTGTATGCCGCGTGAAGTGTTGACTAAAGCTTCATCGTGATTTGACCAATAAGTACACGAAACTGATACCCGCCCGCTTGCTGGGCACACTATCTAGTATTTGAATGTGAACTTAGATTTCTTATATGGACGAAATGTCTAATTTCAAATTGATAATTAATGTAAATTTTTTTAAATTTAAAGCCAGGAAATATAGTGCCAGTCAGTGAAGCTGTCATACACAGATTTCCACATCAGCCATGAGATACTGTGTATCGGGAATGCGTCCCCATTATTTAACGTGGCGGGATCCCCAGTAGGCCTACACCACGAAAAATTGCCAATACAAAACTAAGGTTTATATGTATTTAACTGTTATCATAAATCTTCATGAAAATAAATGTTACCTTTAAATAATACCTTTGAATAAATGTTATCTCTTGTTATAAAATTTTTTAATTAATTATAATTATTTGTCCTTGATTTTTATGCATGGCAATTTTTATAAATAGCAACAACATTTTTATTTTTCATCACAATAAATTATTTTTCTAAATAATGACATTTATTTTCGTGAAACTTATGATATTATTAACCTTATAATTTAAATGCAGTTTGTATTCATTGGATATATGCAAGTTATTTACCAATTTAATAATTTTAAAGGAAAATGCCTTCATTGGCAATACTTTATTTCATATCTAGTTTTGGCAACAATAAAAGAAAATTCTGAACTTGGATTTGAAAACCCAATGTATTAGAAACTTCTGCTGTATAAAAAAAATCCATTATGGACAGGATTTACGTAAAATCCGATCTTAGTGCGCGTCCGCGTCGTGAAATGAGTAACTATGCAAAATTTCAAGTCAATCGGATGTATGGTTTCGGAGATCTCGTGGAGGTATTTCTCTTCTATTTAAAAATGGGAGAATAGCCTCTGTAAAACCCAGAAAGCAGAACATTATTGTGGGGAAAAAGATTACGCTTGCAAAATCCTGTTAGTTCTTGAAACATATGTGCGTCTTGCAGAAACATGTCATCATTCTGATAAATGCAAAGGAATGCGTTATTAGAATTGTCGGCTTGAAGCTAATCTTCACTATTCAGTATGGCGTACCACCAACAATTTCAGTTATTTCTTGTGAGAGTTCAGAGATAGCACCAGTTATTCCTAGCGACAATTCACCAGCACCCGACCACTAGCTCAGGGAATCATGAAGCGCAGTACCAGCTTTAGTCAGAGCTAATCCTCGTTTACTTACCGTATGGGGGGATTATGGCGGTTTCCTCCAAATTGGACTTTTTCAGCTATTATTTACTTTCCAGCTGTTTATTCAACTATATTGGATATACCTTGAAACTGTAACAGTATTTATAACTCATTAATAGCGTAGTCTCGTTCGCTAGCTTGCAGAGCATGATTTTTGTAACCTGTTTTTGTTGAATTTAAAATCTGTTATATTGTGAAGATGACGAGTGATTTAATTCATAAAGCAGATTAGTTCTCTTCCAGCATAATGATGTGTGTAGTGATCTAGTAGACTATAGTGTTGTACAGGACATAGCACACACTGATTTGGGAATCCGAAGCACAATATAACTAGAAGACATACTACGGTCGATGTGATGTTATCAAATGGAAGCTTGTGTATATGAACACGTATAGTTACCAGTTTTCATTGTATGCGAGAAAAGAATAGTAAAAACGAGTAGTATTTATAATTAAGATTTAACCATAAGGTTTGTAAACATATTACATTTTATTTACAAATTATCAACCAATTCCATGTCTTAAATAACGACGAACTTTAAGTAAAGGATCACCGGATTTTCTACGTAAAGCTCGTTGTTATTTAAAACATGGAATAGGCTGGTGGTTCATGTGGGCTGTCCACATTAGATTTTTTAAAATCTATTTTTAATAGAAGTAATATCATTTATTAACTTTATTAAGATATTCTCGAGAATGAAGTGATAATTTAAAAAATACGTTTCTTTGCCAGATAACATTTACAAATATTTTTTTTTCCTTTTTCAGGGGAGCCGATGAACCTTACATAAAGCAATTTTTTCCAAATGCTGAATTTGTCGCAATCGAAAATGCAGCCCATAGCGTACATATGGATTGTCCTCATGAATTTACAGAAGCTGTTTTGAAATTTCTTTCCAGAGTGTAGTATGAAGAGACTTTCCAGAGTGTAGTAATTAAGAGTGTAGTATGAAGCTGTATAAGAATCGAATGCTGAATTTGTGTTGCACAAAGAAAACATGAACTCGTGTTACCGCATTTTCCCATTCAAAACTTAAAACTAATTTGTAGAATATTGTGTAACTGATTCTTAATGCACTAAATATGATCTAATATAATATAAATTTTTAATTTCCTTTAATCTCTTTCGCACAGTTTAAAACCACATTACTTTTATGTGCAGAAATTATCAGTTATTTCTAGTTAAATTGACTGACTAGGAAAAATTAAAGCCTACAATGCTAAAATCTAGCACACCAAGGACCAAATGTAAGTCAAAGGGCCAATCGGCCCGGAAGGAAACATTTGTCCTTTAAAGAAAAAAATGCATAGGCATCAGCAATACGCCAAATTAGAATTTCAAAATACAGCAAATAACAACACTTACTGTAAAACTTACCAGTATTAAAGGAATATATAGCACCAGCATACAAGCAAAATTAGAATAGAAAATTTATGATAAAAATGGATAATATTGAAACAATACCTTGTAAGCCACAACATTTTATAAAACACTGTTCACACAGATAAAGATCAGGAGTTAATACCCCTCAACATTGCTAACAAAATAAACTGCCATAGAACAAATGTTAAAGTTACAACAAGCAATAAGAAGAAGCATAAATTTGCAGAACTAGTTTTGAAGATTAAAAAGAACTTTTTTCAGCTACAAAAGTAAATATGGAGACCTATGGGCGCAAGCGGTAACAATGGGCACAAAATTAGGGAAAGTTCCAGTTGGGAGAGGAAAAAAGATATCTGCGCCATTGATTGAAAACAGTTATGAAATAATTTCTTTAAAAGCTAAAAGTAAAGCGAACTTAAAATCATTCAGAGAAGCAGAATTGTGATGTCTTGATAAGCAAGATTAAGCAGGAGTAGAGGATTTATATGGTTCTTTTTTGTTTTTGTTTTTTGAGTACATATATTATTCTCTTTAGTGAGGAATTTCAAGGCTTTTTTAATTGTCTATGCATGTTTAAGCCACACTGGAGAGAATTATTCGACATAACCGAAGAGTTCATATCCAGTATGGGGTCTTTAAATGTGGAGCTGTGAACTGTATTGGTAGGAGAAGAAAACGACCAAAAAAATTCAATTTCTGTAAAATAAGTGCATTTTTATAGCTAATCGATAGGTAAGAAAGAAATGACAACCCACATTTTATGTGCATAATTAAAAAATATTGATTAAAAAAATGCATCAGAAGCTGCCTGAAGCTATCTGAACACGCGACGTAATGGGGTTTTCACCTATTTTTCAAAAATGATTAATGTCTCTACAGTACTTTTTACCTTTACATGTAACTTTTCTACCAGTTTGTTTTCCACCAAGACAATGTCATGAAGCGCCAAAATGCTGATTTAATTTTGAGCAACATTAATCGTACAATTAGACAAGACATTGACATAAACGCTGTCAACATGCTCATCTGGCTGCTGGTACCTTAAGATGATGATAGACACCAATTATGGCAATGCTTTAAAATTCGGCTAGAGCCCGTAGGAATTCGGGTTCCCTGAACGAAATCATATTTTCAGCATGGGCGCATGGGAGAGTTAAATAATTTAAAATTTCCTAACTTTCTGCTGTGATATTAACTTACAACATTAGCAGAAAATTCTATTTTTCATACAATATTTCTTTTAACATTAATTAAGAGTGTAGTTAAGTTAGTTACATAATATATATTTCCCTTTCTTCGGGAATGTATAGATCGGTTTGCAGGGTGAAGAACGCAAAAACGGAGAAATGTTTTATACAGTAAGCTGCTGATAGTATATAGAAATATGGCAAAAGATAAAATTTTAGATTATACGTTGTTGTAGAATGTAACTTTAGAAAGCAATTTCGAATCAAATTTTACAGATCAAAATGTAGCTGATGAGAAAATCCTTCACCGTAAATATTTTCTTTTATAAATATATTGTTACAAATTTTGTACATTTGTAAATAATTTTAATGAAATTATATGTAAAATTGTAATATTTTTGTATAATATAAAATAAATTGCTTGGAAGAGACGAAGCTCTTCCAAGCAATTTAAAGTAAGATTACAAGGGGTAAATCTATCTAACAATGAGTAAATGGCTATCTCGCTCAATTGGCGAGATATTGCCAAGCTGGCGATGGTTTTGGCGACTAATTGTTGTGTCCAAATTTGGCAGAAACCGCTAACTGTCGACAAACTTCATAACCATTTGGCGACTTTTTAGTCTAGTGTTTGTATAACTATAATTGGTATAGTAATTCATCTTTATGTGCAACTGTAACCTTATCTGCCCCCTATACGTAACTTTAACATATGATTTCCAGTAATTTCGAGAAATGGAAGGCAGCAGAGATTTCTCGGCGACCAAGACCGGAGAGAGCGCCAGTTTCTTAGTTTTTTCATGCAACTTGAGTTCGGAGTGAAGAGATATCTCCGTAGGAGCTTTGCCATTTTAGATGCGCTATGCACTGCGATGTATTGAATGTTCTTATTAGCTTGAAGTGTAAATATTGATTGTACTCTGTGACACTGAGTAGAGGTATACGAGTATTTTTGTGGAAATTCCCAGAACTCCAAAGTGTTTCTTTTGGTAAAACTAAATTTTATCAAGCTATCATCGGTTCTATGTTCATTCAATCTATTACGAACCCGTACGCACGCAACAATGATTTTTCAGGAAATATTTGCATAAAATTATACTTTAGACTAAGAAGAGGTGACAGCGAAAACGTTTTAAAGTGCCCACCGTTCAAACATCTTAATTCTAAATATTTGGGTATCAGTAAAAAAAAAATTATTATATTTTCGAGATTTTAACTATTGTACTAAATGCAAAATTCAACTTTTGACAAAATCTGCATCTTTGCCACATCTGGATAATACTGCATGGTAGACACGAAACAATTTTCAACAGCTAGAAGCACTTGATTCTGCATGAGTAATCGATTTTCTATCCCCCCTATCCTGGTACATTTTGTACAGCTACGGTGTGCTAAGCTTTACATTCAGAAATTCTGCTCATGCACACCCTTGCCATTTAATGAATATGTGTTTTGAGAAGTAAGCATAGTATGCATTCTTCACTTTAACTTAAAATATAAAAAATTTTGCGTTTGCAACGGTAGCTTCTAAGAAAATAATTTCATTTCACATTATTGTAATGTGTAAACAACTTATTTAAGTTGCAAGACAAGAACACTGAACAACATTTGAGCTATTTGGGGCTTTCTAAAAATACTTGTAATTTGAACTGTAGAATAATTAGGATTTTTTTGAAGCCGGAGTCATGGAAAATGAGCAATGCCCTCATTGGGACTGAACAACGGACTTCTGGGAATACGCGCCTAATGTGCTCATTACTACACCACGAAGGAATGCTGAGAAAGCGGAAGAAATACCGTATTCACTCCCCATTTTAAAGGGCTACTGGGGATTAGGAAAACAAGTCGCCAAATCCTCATGATGGAGAATCATCATCCACCACCTTTTATAGTTTGGGCGCCTCTGTAGAGTCATTAGTTTTTTTTTTTTTTTTTTTTTTTTTTTTTTTTTTTTTGAGCAGGAATCATGAAAAATAACCAATGCCCGGGTCGGGAATCGAACCACGGACTCCTCGAAATACGCAGCGAGTGTGCTGACCACTACACCAGGAAGGCATGCTAAAAGGGCCGGAGAAATATTCATACTATGAGATCGAAATTAAAATAGCATGCAAGAAAATATCGAAATTTTGTGATAAAAATGTTCATGGAGAGGAACTTAATTTGGAATATCAGCATTTCAAGTCATATCTAATGACTGATGACGAAAAAATAAATACACTGTACACATACAAGTATAATTAAAAACTATTCACAGTGCTCCCAAATATTGAAAATAGTAATGAAATTTTTCTTGTCGATGATGATTACAAACGCGAGTGGTGGGCGTTCATTTTCAAAACTCAGGCTGGTCACAAATGAATTGAGAAAACGTATGACTCAGTTTCATTTGAATAATTTAAGTGGGATAAGTATTGGAAATGAAATATTATTAACAATTGATTTTGAAAAGATAATTAATGATTTTGGGAATTTAAAATGTAGAAAACGAATTTTTTAATAAAACTTCTTTTATTATGGATTGCTTTTATTAAACCTTATATTTAATTAAATAAATGGAACGCATGTGGGGTCTACTTTTGCATAGGGGCTCAAGGCCTGAAGAAGTCTTATGACGTCCCTGGGTCCAGTTATTTCGACTCGCAATTAAGATCTTGTCATATGACGGGAAGTCATCATGGAACATCGCTGTCAATGAGTAATCCAGTTGAGGCGATAGTATATGCTTTTTTATTTGATTGTTATTTTTCCTCTTCCTGTGACTCGTATTCATTGTAGATAACAGCGTCTTTATAAGCCACAATCAGTTCTAGCTTCGGGTTTGTTGAAGGCATTCGCCAGTTTCTAGGGCTTCCGTGTATATTTGGTTCATCTTTCCTGCTAAAAATATGACGAAGTAAGTTATTTATGATTATTTTCCATCATTTCAATAAGACGTTTCGGCAACTGATGCAAAATATAGAATCAATAAATACAAAAGTATTATCAAATATACTATTTCACATTTTTATAAATATTGATTTACTAGTATAACGCATTTTTCACTTTGAAATCTTGTGCCTTTGGTTCATGAGTTAAATGTTTTCATAAGTTTAAAAATATATCTCTTCCTAAATTTGGTTCGTTTAATTAGTACAGTAGCTTAGAAAGTTAGCTTAGGAGCTACCTTAGAAACAATTCAGTAAGTTCTCAGCTACCTTAGAAACAAACAAATTACCATACTGATAAAAAAATATCAAAAGAAAATTCATTTTGTAATTTATTTAAAGTGTATCTTAAATATGAGCAGGTTATTACTAGAAAGTTACGCTATAAAAGTTTTTTGTCTCATTTTACTGCCTCAACCAAATAAATTTATCAGAAAACTTAATAAAGTTCTGTAAGAATGAAAGTGACCACTTGTTGTGCGAAGAAACAGTTCTGTGTAAAAGATAAAAAAAGCTTTGATCGTACAATATTATAAAATCAAAAGTATTTTCATGTGTATTAGTTTGTGATAACCCTGAGTATCAAGGTGCAGAGTTATTAGATTTACCGAA